ATATAAATAATAATTAAATTTTTTTATATATAATTTTTATTGAATATTTTTATTTAATAAAATTTTTTTAATTATCATGTAGGGAATCTCAATTTGATCTACGACACATATTTTGACTAAAATAATGAATTTTTATTGCCACATCAGCCACCTAATTTCCACATAACTCTTGAATTTTTTTTTTTGAAAAAAAGAAACATAACTTTTTGCGTACTGTATTTGTCAATATAAGCACTTAATTAATGGAGGGATCTTTCCAGCCAGAAAAATAAATTATAAAGATTAAAAAAAAGCTTTTTAAAGTATTAAGGACAAGAACAAAAAAAAGAGCCTTACACCAAAGTACATGAATCAAATTTTGTGGTTTTAACCATTTACTAAGGAAGTAAGTGGCTGCTAGAGTTTCTTCTTCTTCTTCTTCTTTTTTCATAAGGATTCATTTTAAAAAGGAATTTTTTTTTTTTCGATCATCTGGTATCTGAAAACTCATGGGTCACCGATTAATTCGGATTCAAATCGAACAGGATTTAAGCCGAACAAGATTTAACGGACGGTAAAACTTTCCCTTATAAATTTTAACGGAGTCGCATTCCTAGAACTTGAAATCAAGATTTCTTATTAAGTTGAAAGAATCATTTGTCAACTTATTCATACACTCGTGGGTAAATTATTTTAAATTGTACAATAAGAGAGTGATGGTTTTTCTTAAGTCACCACACTTACATATCTACAACTATTATTCAAAATCTCTTAATTATACAAAAAAAAAAATTATTACTAAACTATTATCTCATAAAACTAATTATGAGTCAAAATAAAATTTTCTCAAATCTAATAAATCTAATAATGTCTATGTGGTGTCCTAACAACTTATGAGAAATTTGTATATCAATTTTGAGTTTCAGAATAAATTAGAGTTTCAACCTTAAACAAATTTTTTTAAATTAAAACTTAATTTAAAATTTAAAAATCAACTCTATTGAAAATTGATATTTAAGTTTAGAAGCTAAATATATTAAAATATATAATTAATTTTTAAATCTAGATATTAATATTTAATTTGATAACTTTTTAAATTTTAAATTAAAATTTTAATATTTTAATTAAAAAAATTAAAACTGATATATATTATTCACTTAACTCACATGAAATTATAAAAAAAAAAAACAACAACAACAGGGGAATACCAAGAGTACTTCCATTGTAAATACCCTCTAGGAAAGTAAAATTCATGACCATGAGCAACGGGGCACCCTATTGGAAGCTTATCAAACTTTAAGATTTGAAAAATATTTATTTTTAAAGTTTCTAAATGAAGTTAAAAGAATTAAAAAATTATTTTTTTAATTTAAATTAAATTATGTTAACAAGAGGTCAGATCTCTTCAATATTGGGCTCTCCTTCCGAGGGCCTCTGTTACATAGCGAACTCTTAAAGGGCAGATCTCTTGTGAAAAAGTCTAGAAAGATTTTGCAAAACAGAGATACTGTTACTGTGAATTGGCAGGCAGTACACTACAGTACGCAATGTTGGAATTTGATATCACCAGGAGGTAAAATAATGGGGGAGAGAGATCAAAGCAGAAAACCAGAAAGGTTCGAGTTGGAGGGTCAACCTTATCAATCAATCAACGTGATTGAATAGCGTCTGTCAACTGATTGATCAACTCAAATATTAAAATGTTTAGATTTATTAGTAAAAATTTCAATTTTAATTAATACCTTAAAAAAAATTATTTTCACGTAATTATTTACATAAAAATTTTAAAAAAAAAGATTCCATAAGTTTAAACAATTAATCTATAAAAAAAATAAATAATTCTAAGCCAAAATTCAATAAGATTAAATTGAACAAGATATCCATTGAGTGTGATAGTAGGTGTTGCTTTCTTATACCAAAGATCACAAGTTCGAGTAGCACGTGAACAAATTTTACCAATAAAAGGTTGGATCAAGTGGTAAGCGGTTTGTTTCGGTTTAAATAAGGTTTTGAGTTCGAAATTTTGTGTATGCAGCAGCTTTCGTTGGGAGACTCATCCACTATTTTTAAGTGCATGACGGGGGTCGATCCGACTTAATCGGAACGAAGTATCGAATACCGAACTAGAAAAAAAAAAAAAAACTAAATTGAAGCGGATCCTTCGAAATTATAGGCTACTTAAAAAGAAAAACAAATAACCTAATTTGTTTTCCTTTTTTTTTTTTTGGTGAAACAATCAACGTGATTTGTTGGACCTAGAGATCTTCTTTTTAGAAATATTCTTCGAATCCCAGACCCCAGTACATTACAACTACAAAGCATTATAAATAGTGATTTGGATATTATCCATGAAAGAATAGCAAAAAGATTTGTTCGCATATGCAGAGCGTGTTGCTGAATGTGTTTGGTCTTTCAAAGTTGCTGTTGATGTTCCATTTTTCACTTCTTGGGATCTTAATTTGCTTCTTCAGGAATTTTGCTGTAGGCTCTGTGTTTGGAAAACAGGTGTGGTTATAGCGGACTTATAATTTTGCTAAATCCATATAAAATTTATTTAATTTAATTAATATTTTATTAATTTATAATTTTTTAATAATTAATTATAATATTTAATAAATAAATTAATTAATTTTAATTTATTAAATAATAAATATAAATTACTTTATTAATTATCAACTATTTTTTACAATTAAATTAAACAGAAATATGTAGCCTTAACATTATTGCAAGTGGCTATAAGCATACTCATCTAAATCACATTTGACCTACTTTTGCCCATAAAAACAAATTTAAAGCCAAAAAATAAGAAAATTAATATTGAAAATTGAACTCTATGAAATTGAAAACAAAAATAAAATAAAATAAGGAGAAAAATGATTGTACAACTGAATTACATTAAATTACACAATGATATTGTTAGACGAGGTGCAAGTATGATATTAATGGCTTTTATAATTCACTAACAAAAACAAAAATTTATTATATAATTCAAGATATTTAGAGGTTAATGCATCTTAAAAATAATTAGAGTTCTAATTTATATATGAAAATTGAAATATCATCTTATTAAATATTAATATATAAATTTGAAAACTCATTATATATTTTAATATAAT